TATATATATATATATATATATATATATATATATATATATATATATATATATATATATATATATATATATATAAAATTAAAAATTCAATAAGAAATGCTTATCGAATTAATAAATGCTTATATACCGGTATATGTTTTTGTTTGTTTCTATTTGCAGCAAGGATTTAAAGGTTTTCAGATTGCCCCCGAATGTCACGACCACCATGTCAAGTTTGTCTACTGTGACAAGGAGTTTGAATTAACACATGGCTCAGTTGTGATTGCTGCTATCACCAGCTGTACCAACACTAGCAATCCTTCTGTGATGCTTGGAGCTGGTAAGTAGCCATCTAGAGCACCAGTTAATCACAGTTACAAACGGATAGTCCTCGACGTCCGAGCAGAGTTGAGCCTGAAATTTCTGTTGTTAAGCGAGGCAATTGTTACGTGAGTTTTGCCCCCATTTTATGACCCTTTTGCCGCAGATGTTCAGCGAATCACTGCAGTTGTTAAATGAAATATGCAGTCATTAAGCAGATCTGGCCTCCCCCATTGACTTTGCTTCCCCCATGTTGGAAGTCAGCTCTGAAGGTTACAAATGGTGATCACATGATCCTGGGACAATGCAACTATCATAAAGGCATGCCAATTGCAAAGCACTCAAATTTTGAGCACATGATCATGGGGATGCTGCAATGGTTGTGTGAAAACTGGTCACTTTAGTTCCCTTGTCACTTTGAACAGTCACTAAATGAATGGTTGTAAGTCGAGGACTTCCTGTACTGCGTATCTAACTGCAGTGCCCCAAAAGCCTCTTAATGAATTTAGTTTGACGGCAAACTGTTTGAAAGATTCTTAGATTTCCCTCCGTAGAAGTTGAATTCAAGAATTTTCTGGAAATAGGGAATAGCTGTTAAAATCAGCTGAAAACTGGTAGAGACGTGGCTGTTTCCCTGCCTCTTTTATTTGTCCCCGAATGTTCATTTTATTATATCTGAATGCAGTACAGATTCCACAAAATTGAATAGTTAGGTTTCTCCAAGATCTCTGGATCACTGCGTTCCTGACTGCCACACAGAGTCTGAGCTGTAGTCAGCTTTGTTTTTCAGTGGCTTAGTCCATAAATCAGAGAGAGCACATTGTCTCAGTGGTTATTCCATTGAGTTATCATGAGGATCGTGGAGATTGCTTGGCCTCTTAAGTGTTGCAAAAAGGCAGCAAGAACAGGACCACCGTTACTATGGGAAACCGAGGCTTCACATGTTGGATTTCCTTCCATCTCAGGAGGGAAACCTTACCTGAAGAGGAACAGATGTCTTGAGATTTATTTGAGCCTGTTTGGGTAGTAGTGTGGCAGCTATGTAAATATTCTGAACTAGGGCTAAATTCTCTGATTATTTCTGCAGAATATTTTTTTTTTAATATTAATTAATAGCCTAAACTAGGCTGAACGACATAAACTCATATACCTTGGGTACCTAAGACATACGACTCTTCGTGCAGGTTTGCTTGCAAAGAATGCTGTAGAAGCCGGATTGACAGTGAAGCCATACATTAAAACTAGCTTGTCTCCAGGAAGTGGAGTAGTCACTTACTATTTAAGAGAGAGTGGAGTGATGCCTTATCTTGCTCAACTAGGGTAAGACGTTCTTTTTTTCTTGTTTGTTTGTTTGTTTGAATGGAAGTTTTCATTTGTACTCTCAAAGATAGATTCCCGATTGCGATAAATAAATAAATAAATAAATAAACATTCGTTTAATCAAGTACTGTATCCAAAAAGTAAGGAAAATATTGCCTTAAAAGAATCTAAGTAAAACATAGCAGCTGCAACTATCTATGTTCTAGGGGTGTTTAATACTTTGGATTTCCCGAGCTGCAAATACATATAGTATTTATCCACAACTAGTCGTGTCTTCTTCTCCGTTCAGGGTGCAGCTGCTTTAAGAAGTTGCAGACAAGTGCTGGGCATGTGATCTTGATGTTGTGGGCCCTAAAACCCCTTTTTACTATTGAATCAGAAGAGCTGCATGGCCTTTAAAATCACTGGTTGTATGGCTTTATATAAACCCAATTCATATGTTCAGCTGAAGAGGGGAAGAGTACAAACTGAATAGAGAATATATTAGGCCTATGGTATTGAAGATCTCATTGACTCTGACAGTTAAGAGACAGCTGCACACAGCTAGTATGGGAAGGTTGCATGTGCCAGCCTCATTCATTGGATTACAGATTACCTGGAAAGTGGAAGAAATTTGACCCTACTTTCCTTAATTAATTCCTTAAGAAAAGGAAAGAAAAATTAAGTCCTAGGGGGTAATTCAAGGTAGGGTGATTCGCTTATTTTCCAAATAAATTGGAAAGTGCCATGTTTACTGTATGTCAATATTGAGATGCATGCATGAGAAAGCCCAGCTCACCTGAAATTGTACACAAGGGGATAAAGTGTCTCATGATGGGTGGGGATTATAAAATTAAATATTAATTTTTTACTAAACCACAGTCTGAATACTTACTCCACCCCATCCCCACCCTTTGCTCATAAATTGATGTGTCAGAAAGAAGGTTAAGCTGGAAAATGTCTTTTATGCTCAGTCAACTTTTTTTCCCATCCTCAATCTGAAGCAGCTGAACTACAAGCAGTTTTTACAAATACCATACTTGCTGAAAGGCTGAGAGTGATTGTGAGAAGATTGTGGAAACGTGGAACAATACATCTAGACAGTTATCCACCCTCCCCACTGTCCCCTTCACAGGGATCAGATTATGCAAAGCTTCCTTGCCTAGTTAGAAGAATGTACCATCATCGTCACCATCACCAGCATCATAATTCTGAATTTATTACATGATCTGGCAAACAATAGAAATGCAATTGTTTGATCCTTTTCTACTAGATGTCCATTGGTAATATATTGACTTTCATCCTCTCCACAGGTTTGATGTGGTTGGCTATGGGTGCATGACATGCATTGGTAATAGTGGGCCTTTGCCAGAATGTGTAGTTGAAGCCATTACTGAGGTATTGCTGAGGGTTTGTTTTTTTTATCCTGTGTTTTTGCAATTTTGCATACAAATGATCAGAACCAAGCAAAATGTAGGATTGGTAGTGGCTAGATTTGTGGATAGACAGTGGAAATATGTATGAACACTTTAAATACACAGAAGAGAAGGCTCATTGTTCCTACAGGTAGTCCTTGACTTACCACTGTTCATTTAATAACGGCTCATAATTACAATGGCCTTGACTCATCCTTGAAATTGCAACTGTCACCCCATTACCACAGTCATGGCAATCAACTTTATTTATGATGGTTGCAGGCTCTTGTGGTCACATAATAATTGCAATCTGCAACCTTTCCAGCAGGCTTCCAACAAGTAAAGTCAATTGGGGACGCCAACAACTGTGTGATTCACTTAACTGCCATAAAAATGGCAATCAAATCAGGTCTGATGATGATTTGTTGAATGACCACATTACTTAGTGACCAAAATTTCTGGGCCAATTGTGGTTGCCAATCGACTATTGAAAAGGAAAATGCTCTACGTGCTCTAGGTTCCTTTGCTTATTTAACATTGATCTAACCTTGTCAATGTATTGTTTAATGATCGTTATCATGCTCTTTCTCTGCACAGTTTAAGAACTGTTGAGATGATAGAATTATGTCCCTTTAAAAGGGAGGTGGGGAACCATGGCCCCTTTATGACTTGTGGACTTCAACTCCCAGAATTCCTGAACCATTATGGCTGGGGCTCCGGAATTCTGGGAGTTGAAGTCCACAAGTGATAAAAGGGCCATGGTTCCCCACTCCTGCTTTAAAACAGTGCTTTTCAAACTTGGCAACTTTTAAGATATGTGGACTTCAACTCCTAAGCTGTCGGGGAATTGAAGATGAAACATTTTAAAGTTGCCAAGTGTGAAAAGTACTGCTTTAAAAGAATTCCTCGCTCTTATAGTAAAGGAAAAGTAACATTGAATTTTACTTGGACATTGAAAGCCAACTTCCCATTTGTATTCAATATTAACAAGTGGATGTTTAGCATAGATTTAAGGCAGGGGAGTGAGATTTCATGTGA